CACGCTGAAATTTTACTTTCATACACCATGAAAAAGGGGATTTATCTTGAAGTTGTTGCTAATTATTTTTCTTTTGGTATTTTCCTTTTATTTAAAAAAATGTAAAAATAGTCTCTGTTCAGGAGCCATATAAAATCTGGTGGGAGGCTGGATGTGGGCCCTGGGCTGTCGTTTGCCAGCTGTTGATCTGGAGCGGGTCCAGGCTGTCCGGCAACCCCTGGTGATGTCCTGGGGAGCCTGTCGGTGCTCAATAAGGACTTGATCACTGAGCCATCACTGGTGAGAGTAAAAGAGTAAGCCTTTTGCCATACAACACACACTTGACATTTGCAAGGGATTTATCTTGAAATCTCCCCCCAGCCCCCAGCCCAAGTACCACTCTAGCAGATAATTTCCCCCATAAAAAGCAGTCAAGTATAACAGAATAATTAAAGTGACCCTTCCAGGCCCTTAGTGATTCTGTCAATGTGGGGCTCAAGTCCTTTACAAAGTGATTAAAATAAATTCTGCCACCGAAATCAATTCTCTGTCACGTTACATCATCGCGGTGATGACATTAACGATGAATTTACCTCGATCTGCAAAACCAATCCATAGTGATCATGAGTGATGGTGACTGCTCTACCATATAGCACCTGTGTTTGCCAGGGAACAGAATGATAAAGCATCCTTCTCAGCCGGGTGGGCAGCCAGCAGCCCAGCAAAGCTGTCTTGATGAGTGTTGCTTACACAGGGGACCAAGGAATCCACAGTCCCTTCAAGTAGCAGGTGTTAGGCAGATGTTAGACATCACTGATGTTCTCCCAGGGGCTAAGTGTCTGCCTCTTGGACTTTGTCCTCCAACTGGACACGTTCAGAATGTATGTTGTAGCTCAATTTCGCATGAATATGCGTTTCTGAGCGTTGAAGTGGTGATCAAATCCGGAGAGTGTGAGTATGGAATGAACTTGTGCCCAAAGTCTTCCCTACTTTGTCTTGGCCAAGGTCCCCACGTAGTCCACCCTGCTTGGGTCTCCATGTTATGAACAAAATGAAGACTTTAGGGAAATGGTCTCAGAAGCATAATGAAATGGTTAAAGAGATAAGACTTACAGGAGAAAAGCCAAAGAGATCAGAATTGTTTTGTGACTCTTGCCATCAAATAAAGGGTTTTTTTGTTCGCTTGTATTTTGTTTTCGTTGTGTTTCTAGTTTTTTGGGGGGAGTGGGGTGGGGAGGATTGATCTGATATTGCAAACTGAGAAGTCGAGACGGCTCACTGTGCCTTGTCACTGCGTCGATCCTGGCCTGTGGAGGCTCTGTAGACACAGAGTAAAACTGCTCCACAGGGTTAGAAAGCAGACACCAGGCCTGCCTTCCAAGAACTTCTAGGGCAGCGGTTCTCCACCTCCCTACTGCCGTAACCCTTTCATGCAGCTCCTCATGTTGTGGGGACCCCCAGCCATCAAATTCTTTTCGTTGCTATTTCATCACGGTAATTTTGCTACTGTTATGAATTGCCATGTACATATCTGTTTTGCAGGATGTATTTTCATTGTTACAAATTGAACATAATGAAAGCATAGTGATTAATCATAAAAACAATATGTAATTATATACATGTAAGTATATATTGTGTAATTATATATGTTATATGTGTATTTATATATAGTGATTATATATATTATATGTAATTATATATAGAGATTATATATAATTACATAGTGATTAATCACAAAACAATATGTAATTATATATTTGTCATTAAAAACAATATTTATTTCTAATGACAAATAAATGAAATTTTGTCTTGAAGCATGGTGTAGCGTGGGTAACAGTCTGTACGCCGGTCACTCGTAAGTGGACATATCTGCATGTGGGCGGACCCGCCTGGAGACGGATAGAGAGGAGTGGTGTCTCGGTTCCTAAGACCATCGAAATATGTGTTTTCCGATGGTCTTAGGCGACCCCGCTGCTCTAGGTGGATTCGAACCACTAACCCTTCAGCCAGTAGTGGAACATGTAACTGTTTATACCACCAAGCTATCTTATAGCTGGTGCATCAAACTCAGCCAGCACCTCCTTGGGCAGAAAGGCCTGACAACAAAGATTGCAGCCAGGCAAACCCTATGGAACTGTAGTGTGTGAGGTCACCATGGACGCACCAACAACAGGCAGAGTGCCATCCGTCTGCATTAAGGGACCAGCTATCAAATGACTGACGTGGAAGAAAACTTTTTTGAATGTGTTGTTGTTGTTCGGTGTCATCGGGTCGGTTCTGACTCATAGCGACCCGATGCACAACAGAGCCGGACACTGCCTGGTCCTGCACCACCCATACCGCTTTCCTTTGTTTGAGCCGATTGTTGCAGCCACTGGGGCAATTCATCTGGTCCAGGGCTCTTCTCTGTTTCGCTGCCACTCTACCAAGCATGATGCCCTCACATGAGACAGTGTCTCAACATGCTCTAAGGAGCATGCTGACTGGACTTCTTCCAACACAGAGTTGTGGGTTCTGTTGGCACTCCGTGGTACTTTCAATATTCTACACCAGCGCCGCCGATTCTTCTTCAGTATTCCTTACTCAATGCCCATGCGTATACGGTGACTGAAAACACCGTGGCTTGTGTCAGGCGCACCTTAGTTCTCCAAGTAACCTTGCTTTTCAATATTTTAAAGACATCTTGTGCAGCAGTTTTTTGTTTTGTTGCAACAGTTTTATCCAATGCAAATGCAATGCAATTATTGACAAAAGACCCAATAGAGCCTGCAGTGAGGCCCAAGGAGGAGAACGTGGAGAAGAAGCACACGCCATGGAGAAGAAACAGTTGGCCACTATGGTTTGAGCATCCAACTGACTTGAGAATAGATGACAGATGGGTTGATTTCCTGAGGGCTCCTCCTCCTGCAGCCTACTCCTCGGACCATCCAGCCTAACTGAAACAAACAAAAGAAACACGAGCTGCTTTCTTGGGAATTAAATGGATCTGGAATGACATGTATTGCAACTTAATGATGAGTCTGTCGTTGGCCTACGGTCTATGGACGCCTTTGCGCGTCCCTCCTTGTGTTTCTACTGTGCGCCCCTGGAGGCCGTGAGGCAGTGAGCGTTTCTGAGACTGCCGATAGCTTACTCCTCAGACGGAATGTCAGGCTCTTCAACTGGATTTTCAACTGTCTTGCGAGACAAAGACTAATTGGTTTGACCTCATGCTGCCGCATGTTGAGAGACATGAATCTTCAGCACTCTTCCCTGAATTCATTGATTTCATTAAACACTGTCTGCTTGTGTTTGCAAAATGTTGTTAATTTCCCAGTGATTTCTTCGAACGGCAGTGCATAAACAGATTTTTTTTTGGAATGATGCCATTTCTTAGCTCTGATTGTGTGTTTTAATCTTTCATCTCCAATAGGTCTTCTACATTAAGCCACAGAAAATATCGACTTTAGGGAAAAGTAACGTGGTGGTTACCGGAGCCAACTTCACTCGGGCATCTACCATCACCATGACCCTGAAAGGAACCAGTACTTGTGATAAGGATGTGTGAGTTGCCAATCTGCTCATTTATTCTTGGGAACATGGTGAAAGGTTAGCATCTCTGCAGATGACTATCACAGTCGATGGTGTCACTCTCCACGTAAGCATGTTCATGTGCCAAAGTTGGCCGGCTATTCGGAACGTTTGAGCTAGCACGATTCCAATGAGGAAAATCATGGGAACATTGCGTGTGAAGTTCATTGTCAGTAAGTCTGATCTATATGAAAAAAAAAAAAAACAGAAAACTCATCAAATTTAGGATACCGCCTGGTTTTAGTCTTGCTACGTTCTCATTAGCGACTTTTGGGGCTGAGGGATTCAAACATCGTCATTAAGATGATCCCCTTAGGAAGTTGCATGCCTTTGAATTGCATGGGGAATACGGCAACTCCATCAAGAGTTGAGGGAGCAAGCTTTTTGATCCATCTTATGTGGAAATTTTATTCTGTGCAGCCTTCTCTTTAGTGGTTTGGTTTCGGGCTAAATAATAATTAACTACAATCTACTATGTCCTAAGGGCTCAGTGTGTTACACGTTGGGCTGCTAACAGCCAGGTCAGCAGTTCGAAACCACCAGCTGCTCCAAAAGAAAAAGAGGAGACTTTCCACTCCCTTAGAAATTTTCCGTCTCCGAAACCCCCAGGGCCAGGTCCTGCAGGGTCTGTAGGAGTCAGAATCAGCTTGATGGCAATGAGTTAGTAGCAAAAACAGAACAAAACATCCCAACACAAATATCTGGTCAGTGTACCACTCGGACACCATTATTGTTGAGTTCTTTCCTCACTGTTCATCCTTTCGTTGAAAGTTTGAGGGGGGGGGGGGACCAATTTCTCCCTAATGTCCTTGTGCGCATGTTGTGTTACCACCAACAAACCACTCCCCAGCCCACCCGGCCCCCCACCCACCCCCGGCTCAAAGAGACTGAATCATAATAAGGCAACAGATCATTTGAGTTTTCTGCTTGTTAGCTTTTATAAGTTCGGGCGGATTTGAAGTAAAAGATGTTGCGTCCACATGAAGACTCATCCAAAGCCTGTTCTCGGCGTGGGAATGCAGAGAAAACCATCTGCTGAAGCGTGGTGTTTGGGTTTCTAACTACTCAGGCAGATTTGGACAGCACTTTAATCGGCCACGCTTAGTTACTGGGTTTTCTCTTCTAATTCATCCGTTTCACATAGCTGCCATCCGCGGCCCTCGTAGTCGTGCACGTGAGATAGCTGCGATCTCGATGGGAAACAAACACAGCACGCTCACCGGCGACTTTCCTCTGCTCTGCTATGTCTGCGACGCATGCGTGGTTACGGTGACGTGACGACACGGGTGTTTCTGAGCCATTCATTCTGGCTAGAGCCATATTGCAAAACTCTGTTTTTGTTTTGTTTTTAATTAATTTTGTCAACAGGTTTTGTTTTGTTTTTTTTAATTAATTTTACTGGGGGGCGGGGCTCTTACAAATCTTATAACAATCCATCATTCGATTGTATTAAGCACACTTGTACATGTTACCATCGACATTTCCCAATTTCTTTCTACTTGAGCCCTTGATATCGGCACCTCTTTTTTCCCCTCCCTCCCACCCTTGTGAAACCTTGATCAATTATATATTATTATTGTTATTTTGTGTCTAACTATCCGTTATCTCCCTTCACCCATCTTTCTGTTATTTGTCCCCCTGGGAGGGGCTATATATCCAACTTTATGATGGGTTCCCTCTTTCTCCCCCTCCCCTCTGCCCCCACACTCCCCACCTACCCATATGATACCGCTATTCCCACTACTGTTCCTGAGGGTTTTATGTGTCCTCAATTCCATGTGTCCAGAGCTCTTATCTGTACCTATGTGTGTCCTCCGGTCTAGCCAGATTTGTAAGCCAAAAACTCTTTCATTTTGTGTTTCACAAAATATGCCCGGTTAAACACCCCACAGTGTGCTCACGGAAAGGCAACCAACTTCACTGGGAAAACTGTCGTTTTTCCAAGCATCACCCTGTTCCTGAGTCTTTATGCTCTCACTTCAATTCAGAATATGTCTTGAGATACTGCCATTATTAAATTAAATGACTAAACGGCCTCTCTGCATGTCGTATTTCAGAAGCCACATCTGTGCGGTGAGCCCAAGTCCACGGGCAGTAAGCATAATGCTCAGTTAATCCTGTACCCGAGTTCTTGCCCTAACCCTGAACTCTCAGAATATGCTTTCTTATGTTTTTTTAATGAGTAATTATTCTGAAGAAACAAATACAAGAATAGTTGTGGAATGACCCACATTTCCATCTTTGTCCTCCCAAACATGATAAACAAGCTCGAATGCTAATGATCAACATGTTTATGATGAATTTCCTAGCGTTTGGCTTTGATTAAAAGCCTCAAACTGTACATCTGTGGATGTATAAATGCAAAACGATTCAGAGGTTTCTGGAGTTTGCTTTATCGCAAGGTATCGGGAAAGTATTAGAGATAATGATCATTTGCATAGCTTTTCAATAGCAATAATCGATTCTCTTGTTGGAGAAAGATACCGATATACTAGCGATACCACCCAGTCTTAATGGCTTGTGCAGACGTGGTGCATAGGGCCAGCTGTGTGTAACAGAGCGGGTGTCGTAGAAGGCTTGGTCTTGACTCTGAAGGCGGTGGAGCGCCATCCCTGAGGATGTTGGCACAGCCAGGACAGCCCCAGCTCATTTCTGGTATGGAGGGTCCCTGGGGACGGGTCTGGCTGCAACAATGGTTGATTTCTAAGACTCTTGGGCTCTTGCTGCAAGGTCTCTGCTCACTCAATGGCAGAATTCCCATTCCTGCAGTGGTGGGGTCTAGCTTCCTGGTCCTTTGGGACTGGCCCTTTTCAAAGTTTTTTATTATGAAAATTATCAAACATACATAAAAGTAGAGAGAGGCATGTGATGAGCTTCTCTACACCCATCACCAGCTCTAAACCTTATCACCAATCTTGTTTCTTCTATCTCCTCCGGTTTTGTTTTGTTTTGTTTTGTTTTTTGGAGGGGTGTGTGATGGGGCAATGGGGTGGGAATTCAGGTGTGGATATACTAAAGTGTTTTTAAAAGCATATCTCAAATATCACATTCTTTCACACATAAATGGTTTCTTCTATATCTCTAAGAGATAAGCATGGTGCCATTATCACACGTAACAAAATGAGCAGCCATTCCTTAGTCTCACTTAATACCCAGACTACGTTCTTCTTTCTACTAGGGCTCCTTAAAGGCAACTGTTACAGCCTCTTCCTTCTCCATTTCTAAACTCCAAACCAAACTCATAGCCATATGGGTGATTCCGGCTCACAGAGTAGAACTGCCCCTGTGGGTTTACAGGACTGCAACTCTCTATGGGAGTAGAAAGCCTCGTCTTTCTCTTGAGAAGCAGCTGGTGGCTTCGAACTGCTGATCTTAACATTTAGAAGCCAAATGCATAACCACTATGCCAACAGGGCTCTTATTCCCTATTTCTAAGGGGAAAGAAAATAACAAGTTCAAAGGCACAAAGGAAATGCCCACCAGAGATAAGCAGCTCCTGATTCATTAAGAGTTCCCTGCAGCTATTTTCAGGATAGTTCGTGATCCATTGTGATGCAAGGCAAATGCCTATGCTTCGGTGATCAACTGTGCTCCATGTCTGTGTCAAATCAGAGTTCTCTTTGAACTTTTTTCTAGGATCCCGGTCAGCCATGTGGTCAATGACACCCACATGAGATTCTCCCTTCCATCGGGTCGGAAGGAAATGAAAAGTGTGTGTATCCAGTTTGACGGCGGTCACTGTTCTTTTGAGGGGTCACTAGCTTACATAGCTCTGCCTCACTGCTCCCACATCTTTCCTGCTGCCACCTGGACCAGGTACTGTCTAGATTCACAGTATTTTTCTCTTGATGTAGTTAAAGGGTCATATGCGTAAAGACTATTAAGACACATGTCCAAGGGGCTTCACAAAGTTTGTGGTGGGGGAAAATCCCTTCTCTTGTAAGTATATTTTTTTTCATAAACTTTTTGAAGCCCCACCACATAAAGAGGTCCGGGGTCAGTTGCTGTCAAGTGTTAGGAGTGCAAACAGTTAACACTTGCAGTTGCTGACCTAAAAAGACTGGAGGTTACCATCTGTCCAGAGACCCCCTCCGAAGAAAAGGCTGGTGATAACTTTCAAAAGCCCAGTCATCAAAAGCCTTGTGGAGCACAGTTCCACTCTGACACGTACAGGGTCATCGTAGACATAGGAGTCATCCCGATTCTGTTCACCCAGGCCCCCTTTGGAGCGAGTTCTAGAAAAGCCCCTGCTAACCAAGGGACTGTTTCCCGTGTTCATGACGCGTCCTGTTTGTTCCCTGGCCATCGCTGCCAGGACACTCGCAGCAAAATGTTTGTTCCTTGGCAGTAACTATTCTTAGCCTAAGTCTCTGGTACAAATATACAATCCTTTTCCTCGAGGAGAAGCAGTAGCTACATTTAAAGGATGCTTCGTATGTGAGAGATGAGAATTCCAGAATACAACTCCTCTGGAGGAATCCAAAATATTAAGAGGATGAAAAGAACAATCTCTCCTGTTCAATTTAAATGTACATTCAGATTTTGGAGTAGAATCTTAACAATATGCTGTTCCCCTAACTGAGCACGAAGTTAAATTTCCAATTATTCTTGAAATGAAATCACAGATAAAGCTTTGCTTTAAGAAAGTATTCACTTCTAATATTGTTATTAAGATTAAGGGAAATGCAAATCAAAACCACAATGAGATACCACTTCATTCCCACTGGTTGCCATGAGTCACACATAGATGAGTGGCATGGCCCAACATGATTCGGCCAGTGTTGGAAGGAAGGAAGGAAGGACGGAAGGAAGGAAGAGATGGAAAATAAAAAGTGATGGAGGCGATGTAGAGACTGAAACCTTTGTCATCGCTGGTAGGGGTGTGAAATGGCACAGCCACTGTGGAAAACAGTTTGCCAGTTCCTCAAAAAGTTAAGCTAAATCACCATCCGACCCAGCACTTTCAGTCCTGGGTCTACACCTGAGTGCTGACAGCACGGACTCAAAGGGCTGCCCCCAGGTGTGTGGCAGCGTTATTCACCAGAGCCAACAGACGGAAACACCACATGTCCATCAAGTGCATGGACAGCACGTGGTGGTCTATCATACAAGGAATACTACGCAGCCCCAAAGACAACTGATGTTTTGATCTACACACCACACGGAGACCTGCTGGTGTGCTTGAGTTGGACCCAGGGCTACTAACTCTAAGGTCAGTGGTTCGAACCCATTACTCACCGCCAGGGAGAAAGATGGGCCGTCTGCACCTGTAAAGACTTACCATCTCGGAAACCCTATCTAGGGTTACGAGTTGGAATCAACTCGATGGCAGTCAGTGTGGTTTTCTGAGGGTGCAGTGGGTTAAGCGAGGTATATCTTGAAAACATTTTGCTGAACGAAGTCAACACACAAAGGGCAAATAATGTCTGGCCCCACTTATCTAAAGTGTGTGGACTAGGCAAATGCATAGAGTGAAGAGCGCTCTCAGAAATAACATATTACAGGAGACGTGGAATGCAGGAAATTTAATTTCAAAACCAATGCTCTAGGATGGTACTCTCTTCCTTTCCACCTCACTCCTGCCTGTAAATTAATTTCTTCCTTTCGCATTTCCCAAAGTGGTGATACCACCCCCTTAGGGGTCCTAGAAAGATCCAGAGGGGGGTGGTGCTGCAAAAGCAGATCAAACCAAACACCAAACTCATGGCCATCGAGGTGAGTCCCCTCCTAGCAACTCGTGGCAACCCTGTGGGACAGGCTAGACCTGACCCTGTGGGTTTCCAAGACTGTAACTCTTAACAGAAAGCCTCGTCGTCTGTCTCCGAAAAAGCAGAAACCACACTTTACCGAAGATTATGGGCTAGAATACAAAATGTTTTACTTGCCAGGAGAGCACTGACGTAAATTTTTGTTTTTAATTTTTTTTTTCTTTTCTGAAAAGGGGGTAGTAGACCAAACAGGCTTGGGACCCTGTGCTTTATATAAAAGCAAACATGGACCTGGCAATCACCACTTAACACGGGCCAGATGTGGTACCTAAACTAACCTGGCATGCCTACGTGGTAGTCACCCCCTTTTACAGATGAAGAGGCCGAGACTAGGAGCAGGGAAAAGCTTTGCAGGGGCTTCCAGACCGCCTGGCTGGGAGTGTGTGCTTCTAACCATCGTGGTGTCTGCTGTTACGTGTGAGCCCATGTCTTGGTTACAGCCGGGCCACCGTCCTTGGACCGGTGCAGCGTGACCACCAGCAGAGCCTGCGCAGCTTGGTTTCCTAGTGATGGCTGAAGGTTGGCCTAGCGCCCTCCCAGCCCTTGCCCCTTTTGACTGACAGCACATGGCTACCAGCCTTCAAGGCCCCTGGGGTCCCCTCTGCCCGACACAAATTGACCTGTTCCTGTCCTGGAGCTCACGGGTGCAGCCAGCTGAGAGAGCTGACATATTCAAGCTCCCCCTGCCTGGAACGTGTCTGGTGACCTACATGGATGGGGCGTGGGGGCAGCCAGAGTTGCGGACGGCTGTTTGTTTCAGATCTGATGACTGCTGTGCTTACACCTGATGATGCACCAAGAATGTGTAGAGCCATCTGGCTTAGTTCAGGAGCGAGAGAACATAGCTGTTTGCTTGTGTGGTTCGCCAAATGGGAGTTTAGACTTTGTCTTGGAGGAGTTCACCTTGTCCGAAGTATTCCCTGCCTCCCGAAATACAATATAATTGGTAGCTTGAGAATTTGATTGCACAAATTGTTGACCGATGGAGGCCCTTCTTATAGATTAAACAGCAATCCAACAAAATCCTGTGTTTGGTAAAGCCTTTGCAAGGTATAGTTAACGATCTGATTATATGTGGCAATATGACACCACAAAATTCAAATTCTACCCAAAAAAGAGATTTGGGCATTTTCCTAGAATTAAAATAGGATCTGCCTTAAATATATATATATGTGTGTGTGTGTGTGTGTGTGTGTGTGTGTGTGTATTATTTATGCTTCTAGAACACCATGAATTTATAGCCAGTATCTCTAAAAGCCTTCTAAACTTATCCTGCCTTTGAAATTAAAATTATTTATTTTTTCTGAACTATAACTATGTCTGATAATAAATGTGAATAAACTGCTAGCTTTGTTCCTGGGTGCAAAGTGCCTGTGTGTTTACTATGAAACACTTAACGTTGCCTTTTTCCTTACAGTGGTGGTCAAAATATAACCATCGTGGGCAGAAACTTTGATGTAATTGACAACTTAATTATTTCCCATGAATTAAAAGGAAACATCAATGTAAGTTTTCCATGACTTTATAACAGCGGGCGGGGTGTGTGGGTGTGGTTCTCTTTGAGTTACATGCCTTAAACGTACATGTGGACCTGTTGCATTCGACCCGGCATCTGTGCTACCAGGAGCCCTGCTTCCATGGAGCACTGAGAGCTGGGGCCAGAGAAGAGGAATGAAGTTGGCTGAAAGGACCTGCCGGCTTTCTCTTGTGTGGTGGGTGGCAAGTCACCGTACTGAGGCAGTGTTTGCCAGCATGTGCGAGGCTGTTTGGGGATTGCTGAAGAACGGCGCTTCTGTGGAACGTAGGTGGTGGTGCTCCGATGTCAGAGCGAGGATGGATGCGCAGAGAGCAGTCATTTCCTACACGTCTCCTTCCCTTGCTATTGTCCCCGTTACTCGATTTGATCCCTTGTGATCTCACCCTTCAACCCCAAAGTGAACCTCCGAGAAGGGGTCTGGTCCCCCACTCCCCACCTACTTCTTACCCCAACATAGTCACAGTGGTGCCTCCTCCCTCTCTCAGAAGCCTCTGGTTTGAAGCTGCTCAAGGGGAGACCAGAGATTTTAGGTGTACTCGGGGGGGGCCCCCCAAACACACTTTCTAGATTCTCCCTGAAAGCTCATGGCTATTGTATCCCCTCTTCCTCCCTTTTCTTTGTGATAGATGTGAGGGTATCTGCCCCGCCTGACTAAACCAAGGTAGACTCATCTAAGAGTAGCTGAAGCCTTGACTCCTGCTAGGGACTGGGCTGGGCCCCGGGTCTGGAAACAAAGAGACCACCCAGTGCACCATCCTGACAGCCGGCCCCACTCCCATCGGCCCACTGGCATGGTTCAGAGTCAGGCCCGTACCTCCCAGCACATCTGCTCGCAGGCACACATCTGAGGGACGTGAGCGCATCCAGGGACATGATTTGTACGGATCAGATCGACTCTGGCCAGAGGCGATGATGAGTTTGTTGGTGGATTTGCTCTCCCTCTGCAGTGCTGATCCTAAATCAATGCCATCGAGTAGAATTTATTGAGCATCCTCTATGGGCAAAACATTTTGCTGGGTGCTGAGACAGGAGGTAAATAGAAGAGGCGCTGCCTTTGTGGAGGGAGATGGCACGTCGACCCTGGGATTGATGGCCGAGGATGCACTCTGCCACCACAGGGGCCTTGTCACGTTCAGGTCTCAGCCATATGAAGGAGAAAGAAAATATGGATGGGAGGTGGTGGAATTCTCTCCTCCCGTGTGGGAGACCAGGTCCAATGTCCAGCCCAAACACCTCATGTATATCCACCGCCAGTCTCCCAGTGGAGCTTGTGTGTTACTGTGGTTGCTGAATCTGTTTCAGCAGAGATTCTAGACTAAGACAATTTCCAAAGTGATCTATTTCCAAAGTGTCCACCCAGGAAAACCCTTTGGATTATAACCGTCCAATCCCATTGTGCATGAAGTCACTATGAATTGGGGGCCCAACTCAATGGCATTAGAACATTAACAGCAGAGGTGGAGCAAGGTGGGTAGAAGCGAGGAGGGGATTCCAGGTACAACAGGCAGGACACTCACAGGCTGTGATGGGAATATTGTTGGTCTCGTTCAGCTGGAATTTAGAGCATGGATTGGGAAGGAACAGGAATGATGGGTGGACCATGTAAGAGAGGCTTACTGAAAGCTCTGCCCTTCGGACAGGTGATGGGAGCCCTTGACCTTGAGGAGGAGTGACATGAAGAGAGGAACACTTTATGATGATTGTTCTGGCAGGAATGCATAGGAAGCGTGGCTGGGAGACCATTAGGCAGCTAATGCAGATGGCTAGGTGTGTCTGAGATGCCAGCAGGCATCTGGGCTGGGCTGTCCACCCGGCACTTGGTGGAGTTAGTGGCGGAGGTGATCCAGGGCTGGCTTAGAAGATGATGATCCCTGTAGGTGCCGTCATTGAAGGGAGAGTGGGGATGACATTGTGGGAGTCCGAGGATGAAGGAAGAAGAAAAGAGGATGGAAGCTTAGAGATGGCTTACTTTGAAAGAGTTGAAAGAAGATGGGAAGGCCGGCGAAGGTGGCAGAGGAGCTAGTCACAAAGGTCATTTCAGACAGCGAGAGAGGATCATTAAGAGAACATTTGCAGACTGGAGGAAGATGGGATAAACTGTCCACAGTTACCTTTCGAAGAAGGCAGATCCGGTACAAAGACAGCCTGCCAGGGCTTCAGGAAGGAGAAGCTGCTGAGAAGGTAGAGGCAGTGCCAAGAGCGGTGTTCTCACATTGACAGATGTGTGAGCTAGAAATCCAGCCAGTCCCCGAGTGGCACAAAAGTGGATGAGGTCAGAGGTTAGAGGTGCCTCTGAAGAAAGGCCTGGTGGTATCTGAAAAAATCAGCCATTGAAAACCCTATGGGGCACAGATCTCTTTTGACACACGGGATCACTGTGATTCAGGGTGAACTCTGGCTAGGGATGGCTTATCCCAGTCTCTAGCTAGCTCTTTGACTCAGCCTTTTCCCCTCACCTATTGCTTCTTCCTTTTTTAAAAACAAAACAAAACTCCAGTATCAAGGAGGCAACAAAAAGAGGAAACGTCCTCCCAGCCAATAAAATGTTTCTCACCAGTCTTAGGTTTTACTATGTTTGTCCACCTGCCCTGTCCCCCCAGCGCTCTCTGCTCATGCTGCAAATGGCCAGGTGTGTGGGTGGGTGTGCTTTTTCAAAAATCAGCCTGTGAACCTGGGACTACGACCCCTTGCTAAAAACACCATGACGAGACCCTGGAACAGCTCATGGCCTGGTGGACGTGGAGATGATGACGCTGAGTGAAATCGGCCCATCACCAAAGGACAGATGGTAGAGGAGATCTTACGTTGGAAGACGGAGGAAAACCAAAACAAAACACCAAACCAAAGACCTTCATACCACCGGTCCAAAAGAGATTTCCAAGGGTGGGAGGCAAGAGAAGGAAGAAGACAGGGAATCCAGGACGGATGAGCCCTATAGGACCAGTGGTGTGAGTGGCAAAACAGGGAGGGTAAAGGGAGAATGGGTAGGAAAGAGGGAACCGATTACATGGAACTGTGTGTGACCTCCTCCCTGGGGGACAGACAACTGAAAAGTGGGTGAAGGGAGACGTCGGACAGGGCAAGATATGACAAAATACCCATTTATAAACTATCAAGGGCTCATGAGGGAGGGGGGAGCGGGGAGGGAGGGGAAAAATGAGGACCTAATGTTGGGGGTTTAAATGGAGAGAAAATGTTTTGAGAAATGATGTACAAATGCGCTTTACACAACTGATGTGTGTATGGATTGGGATAACAGTTGTATGAGCCCCTAATAAAATGTTAAATAAATAAATAAATAAATTTTTTTAAGAGAGAAGGAAGAGGAAGCAAGGGGCTTCTCAACCTGGGGGTCGCGACCCCTTTGGGGACCGAACGACCCTTTCCTGGGGTCCCCGATTCATCATAGACGCAAAATGACAGTGATGAAGTAGCAGCGAAAATGATTTTCTAGTTGGGGGCTCTCCACCACATGAGGGACTGTGTGAAAGGGTCGCAGTGTGAGAGGGTTGAGAACCACTGTTTTGAGGGTGAACTTGACTGAAAGGGGAGCTGGTAGTCAGTCCACGGGGGTGGGGTGGGGTGGGGTGGGGTGGGGAGCCAGAAGTCCCAGAGCGGTTGATGGGCAAGCTGTTGGGGAACATTTATGAATAGTTTCAGCTGTTGACGACAAAACCGTCCATCTGCAATGTCACCCCCCCCACCTCATTGGCCATTTAAGATATAAAAAATAAAGTCCCTGAAGCGGACAGGCCCCACTTGGTGCGTGGCTTCCCGGTTCCCGCCCTTCGTTTCGCCCACCGAGGTCACGTTGTCCTTCTCGCTTGTGTTTCCTCCCCTTTTCGGTGGCCTTTCCTCATTGTGAGGAGCCCTGGTGGCATAGTGGTTACAAGGTGGGCTGCAAACTGCAAGGCCAGCAGTTCAAAACCAGGAGCCGCTCCTCGGGAAGAAGATGGTGCTTTCTACTCCCGTAGAGAGCGCCAGGCCCGGAAACCCCTGGGGGCAGTTCTACCCTGTCCTGTAAGGTGGAGAGTCGCCATCAACTTGATGTCAGATTCGGTGTTTTCGTTTCCTCCTTGTGGTTAAGGCCTTGCACTGAGGTGCTTTGCCGGCACCAAGCACTCGAGTAGTCCCCATGGACTCAGCCTGCTGGCCTGAGGGCCACATATAACGTTCTTTACCTGAAAGGCATGCCTGCGTGACCTGTTTTCCCATATTACACAATATCTGACGCCTTCGATGAGCATTAAAGAAAGCTGGCATGGAGGTTACTCTGACTCATAGCAGCTCTATATGACAGAGGAGAACTTCCCCGATGGGTTTCCAAGACTAAATCTTTATGAGAGTGGAAAGCCTCATCTCTCTCCTGTGGAGCAGCTGATGGTTTCAAACTGCTGACCCTGTGGTTAGCAGCCCAACCCATAACCACTATACTGCCACATGAATAATAATAAAGCTGTGCTATCTAGCTTATCTTGAATGGTGAGTGTGAGTCAGCTAGTTGCTAAGCATGTTTGCACTGATCGCATCACTTACTTCCATCCTCAGAGCGAGGTGGGTAGTACTGCCAGCCCCATTTTACAGATGAGAAAACAATGCCCAGAGAAGTTACATAACCTGGTCCCTTAGCTGTTAAACATCAGAGCTGATCTTTCAGGAAATGATTAAAATGCGATTTCCTTTTTGGTTCCTCTTAGGTGTCTGAATATTGCATGGCAACTCACTGCGGGTTTTTAGCCCCCAGTTTAAAGAACCCCAAGGTGCGTACAAATTTCACTGTGAAGCTACGAGTCCAGGACACCTATTTGGATTGTGGGACCTTGCAGTACCTTGAAGACCCCAAGTTTACTGGGTACCGGGTAGAATCCGAGGTGGACACAGAGCTGGAAGTGAAAATTCAGGTATGTTTTCTTTTACGGGGGTGAGGGGGTGGGATAGGCAGGGCTGGGGGTGGCGGGGGAAGATGCCGTCCTTGTGGAGGAAGCTGTGCTGTGCCCGTAAGTCTCCACATATGTCCGACTTCTTCATCCCTGTTTGCATCTCTGCTCTTGTCTCCACAGAAAGAAAACGATCACTTCAACATTTCCAAGCGAGACATTGAAATCACTCTCTTCCATGGGGAAAATGAACAATTAAATTGCAGCTTTGAAAATATTACTAGAAATCAAGATCTCACCACCATCCTTTGCAAAATTAAAGGCATTACGGCTGCAAACAGCATCGCCACCTCTTCCAAGAAAGTCCGAGTAAGGCATCCGACACCCCCACACACCCCTGCCCCACTTCCTGTGCTCTTTTCACCTGGCACTCTGTCATTCCTCAGCTAAACAAGTAGTCAGTGGAGTTCTTCCATGGACCTTTAAGATCCCCACTTAAAATAGAAGATAAACAAAACCACTGCTGCAAACCCAAGCATAATTCCTCCAGAATTGCTGGCAGAATCCATTCCATGTGCCTGTTTGAATGTCAAAGCATTGAGCACTCCATTGTCTATAATACTAATGAGTCTTGATAGCTTTTGTTCTGCCCATACATTTAGCATGGAGCATCTGCAAGCAGAATCTCAGGACCCGTGAAGAATGAGCTGTCATTCTTTTGCCAAGGGCGGAGGTGACGCGCAGTGAGGCCAGTCCCAAGATGGGCGGCCTTGTGGAGGCACTTGCACTTGCATTTGACTACGATGGAGCCTAGATGGGTCATGGGCTGCTTCCTTCCCCATGATGTCATAGTCGGACCGACTCCCATTAATCTTTTCCTCGATGGGTATGAGGGACCCATCACCATGATATTTATGTCGACAATAAAGATGTGAGACCCTCGGGAAGGGAAACTTAGGAGAAGTCACTCTTGATAGTACTCCTGCCATACGAGGCTCCGTAGAGTCTATACGAACAAAGGCTTTATGATCTATAGTTGTAAATAATTGGACAAAGGACAAGCGAAAGAGAAAGATCTGCGTCCGTGTCCAGCTACCCCTGCTAATAGCTGCGTGGCCTTAGATACGTCATTTATTTTTGCCGAACCTCGTTCTCTGTCAGTATAGTAGAGGGGGTGATCCTAAGAATGGGAGAATCACTAGCACTCATTGAACTAAAAAGTGCCATCACCTTTCAAGTGACTTGAAAAGAACCCCCTTCGTCCTTCAGAGGATAGTTTCTGGGCTGTGATGAGAGCACAGCAGCAGAGAAAACAGACACAATGACCAGACTTCGTGGAGCTTACACAAAGAAAGTCAGTTTTAAATATCTCCTGGTTCTTGGTTGTCATTGAGTCCGTTTTGACGTGTGGTATCCCCGTGGGCACAAGAACAAAATATTGACTGGGCTTGCACCTACTCATCATTGTTGGTTTGCTCAAGTCCATTGTCGGGGCTGCTCTGTATTTTGGTTGCCTTTCAACCTGTTGGGTAAGCGTTGCACTGTTGGGTAAGGTTGGCAGTTCAAACCCACCAGCTGGAACCAGGCGAGAAAGATGAGATTGTATGCTGCTGTAAAGAATTACATCCTTGGAACTCAATATAGGATGGCTATGATTCAGAAGTGACTCGATGGCAGTGGGTTTGGTTTGGGGTTTGATTCCAACCTAGGGACTGATCTTCCTTCTGGCCATATATTGGAGAATATTCTTTTGTGATCCATTGGGTTTTCAGTGGCTAATTTTCCAAATGAATTGCCAAATCTTTCTTCCTGGTCTGGATGCTTTGCTGACTACCTGGATGATCCAGCTCCGCCACAGGCCACCCTGCTGTTTGCAGTACTGGTGGTGGCTGAGCTCCCAGTAGCAAAGCAGCAAAGAAATCACCATAGCTGGACACATAGACAGTTGGGTGTTTGGGAAAAATATATTAGATGGTGACTAATTGTGCTGGAGAAGAAGAAAGCAGAGAGGGGGATTAGAAGCATGGACACATTGTTGCAGGTGTTCCCATGGTAGGCAGAAAAGACTTCCTTGAAAAGTGGATATTTGAGTAAAAACCTCAAGGAGAGGGGAGAGGGGCCCTGGTGGTGTAGTAGGTATGTGTTGGCTGCTAACCACAAGGTCAGTGGTTCCAAATCACCAGCCTTTCCTTGGGGGAAGGATGAGACTTTCTACTCCTGTAAAGAGTTACATCCCTGGAAACCCATAGGGCCCATTCTACCCTGTCCTATAGGATGACTATGAGTCAAATCAACTGGATGGCAGTGAGTTTGTTTGTTTGTTTGTTTGTTTGTTTGTTTGTTTTGAGATCTGGAACAGAATGCTGCAGGGAGTCAGCCGCTGCATAGGTCCTGAGGCAGCATCCCCTGTGGGTTTGAGGCACAGCCAGGGGCCCAGGGAGTGGACAAGGAGAAGGTCTTTAGAGGCTGGAGAGTTAAGAATGGGGTCCGGGGAGTCAGAGGGCAACCACTTATGGGCCATTACAAGGGCGTGGCTTTCCCACGTGAGAGAAGAAGCCATTGGAAGATCTCAAGCGAGATGTGTCATGAGCTGACTGGTGGTTGTTAGGGGCCTTTGAGAGGATTTGGACTCCCAGCTACCATGTCACAGAGGAGAACCTCCCTGTAGGGTTCTCCAGGTGAGAATCATCACAGATAGGTAGCCCTGGTGGCACAGTGGTTGAAGTGCTTGTCTGCTAACTTTGGGAGGCGGTTTGAGCCCACTAGCCACTCTGGTGTGAATGATCTGGCAATCTGCTACTGGAAAGTGTCCAGCCTTGGAATCGCTATGGGGCAGTTCTACTCTGTTTCGCAGAGTCCCTGCGAGTTGGAATAGACCCGATGGGAAAGAGGCTGGGGACTTTTTGGTGGTGGACAGCGTGCAGTTCTACCCTGGCCTGTAAGGGTCACTAGGAGAGGCAATTTCGATGGCAGTGGGTTTTGAGTTAACCGTTTGCATTACCTAGGGACTCCACCTCTCTCTTGCCTTCACTCCTGCACTATAAGAACCCCAGGACAAAGAGGGCCAGTGTTTAAACTCCACATCTAGACTTCAGGAACCTGAGGCCTTGTAAGTATTCTTGATTTGCTCAAAGTCACACAGCTAATCTACCCCGGCGCCAGGACTTGAACTCAGATATCCAGTCAAGCTCACAACCTCTTTTTGCATCTTAGGAGAAAGACATTTGGAGTGAGAAAAAAAAAAAAAAGATGTCCGTCCATATGGTACCCAGCACAATTGGCTCTAATGTCCCGCTTTGTCCCGTTAGGTCCGCCTGGGGAATTTGGAGCTCTTCGTTGAGCAAGAATCCGTTCCTTCCACTTGGTATTTTCTGATCGTGCTTCCCGTCTTGCTAGTGATTGTCATCTTTGGTAAGTGGTCTGTTTAATTTTGTCAGAGAAATTATTCCCTGGGGCCTCTTGTCAGGCAGCACACCTTTCCACACTCAGGAGCTGTTTGCTTCAATTAAGCATTAATGGAGGAAAGCCAAAATCAGAACCTGGCGAAGGGAACAAGGGGTACATGTGGGGGAGCTTTCTAAAAAATCTTGCATGGACACTTCATTGATAAAAGACTGGGTCAGAAATTTCGGGCCTTAGTGTTTGAGGAATAGAAGCCATGTCGCTTTTGCTTCCCTTTGAATGATGAGGATAAAGAGCTAAGCTACACGATTCCCTCAGGACTGCTTTGGGAGTTGGCACTCCCAGGGCGTGATGATCTCTTCCTGTCTTCTCTCCTGGCCAAACACCCCAGTCCAGCCCAGCCCAGCCCAGCTTTTCCTGGCAGAAATATAGTCCCGTACCACCCACAAAACTGTCCCAAGGCTCAGTGTAACAGCTAGGTCCCACTTGTGGTTGCCTGCTGACTCGATCGGGCCTACCGTTTTGTGTTCTGTTTGGCCCACACAGTATTTAAAACAAACAAGCAAACATTAACACCATTTAAAAATTGGATGACTTCACATTTTTAAACTCTCTTGCCACATGGAAGTGTGTGACAATACCACATCCCAGTTTTCCCTTGGCATCGGCTTGCTGAACGGAGTAGGAGCTATCTTTTGGAGAGAAGCCATATACTCACTGGGTTTTTACTAGTCTTCCAATCCCTGGTCGCCTTCAAACAGGGCCTTTAACCTCATTATGCAGGTATCTATGTACGGGTTCTTGGAGCCATCGAGCTTGGGCCTTGGTCCTAAACTGCTTTTGTTTTTCAGCAACTTATTATATTTTTTTAGCTGAATACACCCAGCCAAAACATGGGCCAGTTCAAGTTTCGACATGCGCTTTTCCACTCTATCGATCACACTGGGGTTTGCGACCCTCTCCACCTCCTTTTCTGCATTGCTCCCCCAAGATGAACGTCAGCACGCTGCCCCAAAGGTGCTCACCTAACCCAGGGCGTTGCTGCTATTGGGCGTTTTAAGCCATTTTCTCTCATCCTTCTTAGGGAAGTAGAAACTCATCTCCACTTACCTTCTATCGCCTGTCCTATTCCTTAATGCAGCGCAGGGATTGCCTGGAGATGAGAGGCTAATGGAGGCCGTGGCTAATATCCTGTGGCACACATTCCCTCCCTCCCTCATCCATCCACCTCCTTATATCAAGCATCTGTGAGGTTGCTGGGAACTCTGCAAGTCTCTGGAGCTTGAGAAGGGGAATTAAAGCCCGGTCTCTGCCCTTGGGTGGTTCGGAGACTAGAGAGGGTGAGATTGATGTCTATGATTAGCTGGCCTAATGAAATGGATTCATTATGCAGACGCCTTATTTCACCCTGGTGATTATGACTCCTGGTATTGGTTACTGCTCTCCCCAAGTTGTCCACTCCTCTATTTGGAATCCACAATTGGACTTCGGTGTTTTAATCACGGCGGGGCTGGTGGTGGGCTCTGTTTTGAGAACCTGCTACTGTTAAGCAGCCTCACCCTGCAGTCAAGTCCTCTGACTGACCTTCTCCTGACCTAAGTGTGACTATGCACTCCTTTCCCTCACCTGTGTGTACAGAGTGTTCATGGGCTTGAAGTTGAGATGGGCTAAATTTGACACCTTGCTTTGCACTTGGCTTGTTTCTGCTAAACCCATTTAAAATTCTCATCTTATAGAAGTGCCAGGGCTGTATGTGCCATCATAGGATTGAGTAAGTGCGTTCTTTAGTCTATCAATCACAGCATTGATGAAAACCCCAAACACACCTGGCCTCACCTGCCGCTTGCAGGGCACCTCTGCCATGGCCTTCTCTCCAGACTGCAGCTGGGAAAAGCTCACTGCTTTAAGATCATGACCTGCTGGCGCTCCTCTCGTGTTGCTCAAAGTGCAGCCTGAGAAGCAACTGTCCCAACAGATGCTCCTGGACAAAGGGGTGCCTTGGTCAGGGAAGCTGGGGGCATCCCTGCATTCTCCACCCTTTCATGGGGCTACACAATGCATGTTAGCCTTAGGACTGGTGACTTTTGTGAAGTGGTCCAGGGAAGAAATTCTACGCAATTGGTGCCAAGTCATTCTTAACTCACACAACCCCACATAGGACAGAGCAGAAAGCCTGAGGATGTTCAATGGCTGGTTGTTCTGAAGGAGATCACCTGGGCTTTCTTTCAAAGCATCTCTGGGTGAACTTGAATCTGCAGCCTTTTGGTTAGAAGTCAAGCACGTTTTACACCATCGTTGGACTTGAACAGCAAACAAAGGCATTCAATTTCATTTCTTCCAGCAGCATTCTCAAAGGGCCCTGATGTAAGGTCCTGGCCGCTAACTGCAAAGGCAGCAGTTGGACCCAGTGGTAGGATTCAGCCAGTTCCCACCCGTCCAGCAGAACCAATACCAAATATTTTGTTGAGTTTTGTGGTTAAAATGGTTCTTGCTGATGTGAAGATCACAAATTTACATTCCTTTCTCTTTTTTCAATATTCATCTGTGTAACAGAGTGTTCTAAGCACCCGTAGTAGTGTTCATCCCGTCCATAGGTATAAAACAGTATACGGAGCTAGGCTTATAATTTTTTATTGATTTCATAAAAAGCATTATACGTTTGATGCAGTACTCCATTTTTCCCCCTTGAGTTTGTTGCCTCAGTAGACAAATGTATAATGGAAAGAGAAAAAGTACCTACAACCAGAGGGTGACATGTTGACATTCATTTCAGCTCTGCGTTGTGCTCCAAATTCACATGAGCTATTATGAGTGAATTATGCAATTCCTGAAAGTGCTCAAAGAGCTGAAAATAATATCAGAACAGTTGCTGCGAGTTCAGCAGAAGCAGAAAGGGGTTTTTCAAAGATGAACATAGTATGTTCAGAGAAGAGAAGTCGCCTGTTTGTAATACATCAAACACAATGACTATTATCTAATTGTCCTACCGCTGAAAGACTGGGATCCTGCTCCTACAGTGAAAAGATGGTGAAGGATAAATCACACAGCCGATGATGCTCAGATAAAAGAATATTGCAAGTGAGGATGCCAATCAAGAAGCAATATGGAAATACCTTAAATAAAATGTTATTGTTTTTGTCAGGTATTACTTAACGTTTTTCTGCTAATATTTTAAAACTCTTTCTCATAATAAAATCTAGTTTGGTGTGTCTCTTTTATTGTTCTTATTTCAATATTAAAACTATGAAATAATAAACCACTTTTTTGGTATATCTGTTTTCCATACTTAAAATGACTACTTGAATGGCAAGCTGGTTGTTAAATTATTTGAATCCCACCACTGCTTGGAACCCACCAGCCTCAAGACAAGGCCGGGTGCTTTGCACAGCTTCACAGCCTCGGAATCGCCATGGGGTAGTTCTACTCTGCCGGGCCGGCTTGTTGAGTTGAAGCCGCCTCAATGTTAACAAGTCATTTTGGTTTGGTTTAACCTTATGCATAGTTACTGGTAACAGAACCATTTTATTGGGTAATGCCTAGTAAAATCCCCAGGAAAAAATGCTTTAGAAGAATACTAGTAGTAGGCAATCATTGAGTACTTATGCTTTAAAAGCAATGTTTTAGATGCTTTCTACACATCACTTCTTGCAATCCTCTTGCCGTTCTACTGAGAAAGCAGAAAGCCCTGTTACAGAGAAAGCAGAAAGGCACAGATCTGCTGGCGCACTGACTCAAGGTCACACAGCTAACAAATGACAGGGCAGGGATGTGATCCAGAGAACTAGGCCCCTCCCTCCCCCCTGTGCATGTGGAGAATGAGGGATGCATTCAGACGTGGGAGACATTGTCAGCCCACCACCACGCCAACGCAGCGATTGACTTATATAACGGAATTAGTGATTTCTTTCTGCTGTTGTGGCTCAACTTTATTTCTCCAGGGATATTTAGAAACGTTAAAGGAAAGAATGGAACAATATAAGGGGCCGGTGGCTGGAGAGAAAACTCCGCTTGTTTCATTGCTTTTCAGCCAACTGGGATCCTTGGTTACAAGCAAAGGTTATTTGATTTAGTTTTTACTTTTAAGATAAGCGGATTGTTTTTCTGTTGAATTTTAGCATCTTCCTCTTTAGAATGACCCCTCACTGGGCGATTTTATTTTTATAAAATCCAATTCTTAAATGTTATTTGTGTGCATGTGATCCTTTATTTTGCCCTTTCTTTCTGCTTTGCACTGTCATCCTTTAATAATCTTTAAAAATGCTTATTGCAAAAATATAGCTAGAGCTCAATTTGCCAGTTCAATATCGTCCCTATATATAATTGAGTGAGGTCAATGACATCAGTCACGTTACTCAACCCTTATCAATAGCCTTTGCCCAAATGTCCATTCCCATAAACAGAAATGCAATGCTCCTGGGTAAAAAAGAAATCTCTTCCCTACTCCTCCTCCCTCCTACCCCCGATAATCACTATTACCCCCTGGCCTAATCTGTAGCCTTCTTATTTGTGCAATATTTGGCCTTTTGTGATTGTCTCATTTCTCTCGGCATCCAGTTTTCAAGTTTTTCTTTCTCTTTTCCTTTTGTTTTAAGGAGTGGTGAGGTTGGTATCTGGTTTGGGTTTTTGCGTGCATTGTTTTCAGTTCGCATCCCAATCTGATGCTGGGTCTTGCCTCCTCCCCAGCGGCTGTGGTGGTGACCAGACACAAATCCAAGGAGCTGAGTCGCAAGCAGAGTCAGCAGCTGGAGCTCCTGGAAAGCGAGCTCCGGAAAGAGATCCGCGATGGTAGGCTCCCGAATTGTGCTTGTCAGAAAAGAAGTCCTATTCTTATTATTGTCATTCGTATTAAACTCTTCAACAGAGAGGGCCACAGTCATGAGAAATGTTTGTATCATGGGAGACAACTGAACAACGGGGCCTGGACCTGGCTGTGTGTTTCCCTTCAGCTCTTCTCTGCAGCCAGCCAAGAAATTATCTATTGTTTCTTCTGTGATGAAACCCAAGGTCACCCTCTGACTTAGACAAAACAGCGTAAGATCTTATCCGTTGTTTGTTGAGTGAAAATATTGCTCTGGGGTTCTGTGTTGCAGGCTTCGCTGAGCTGCAGATGGATAAATTGGACGTGGTTGATAGCTTTGGAACCGTTCCCTTCTTGGACTACAAGCATTTTGCTCTGAGAACTTTCTTCCCGGAGGTAAAAGAGCATTGATCATATTGCTAAGGTTGAGCCTTGAATAATAATGAAGGTGCTGGTTGCTGTTGTCCAAAACGGTGGTTGTGTTTCTAAGGCAGCAGTGGAGAATGTGCCTGGTACCAAAAAAAAAAAAAGCTTATGCGTGAGTAGAGTGGGAGGAGGATAATAATTCATTGCACTGATTAGGGTCTAAAGCAGTGATGGGTCACTGGCCAATACTCTTGGTCCAGGAACAAAACCCTTCGAGGGGCAGGGCTTCCAAGTGGTGATTTCGACTTTATTTCACTGCCAGGGTAGAACAGAATTTGTAGCTTGGAAGCGAGAGAGTTTATTTAAAAATCAATAAATTGTGGGCCGGCCAATTTCTTGGGTTTATCTGCATGACTTACCTTGCAGGTGCTAGATTAATCCCTATCACTTCTCAATCGGAAATGAAAAGTACTACCAGCCGGATGGGAGGGACGTAGACAGGGCTAGACTTTGAGTTGATAATAGGCATTGATAGCGGGTTTGTGGTTCTCTTCAGCAGTTATTCTCTAACTGATCCGTGAGTATCATCCTCATTCAGTAGGGACAACTGCGAGAAACGATCAATGAATTTGTTCTAGATCTCTGAGGAGGATCTACTCAACCCTTTGGGTTTTCGGTCTCACCTATGTTCTTCGGACACCTTCATTTTCTCACCCGCTCACTCATCTGCCCTCCTAAGCCTCGGGCGAGGTGCACTCATGTTCCACATCATCACTTCCACCTCCCAACTCCCAACTCCACCAGATGGCCCTGCGTGTCCAAAACGGGTAGCCACGCAAGGCCCAACCTCGGGGGCACGTCCTCACCAATGGTCATAGGTAGAGTTATATTTCTCAGCAAAGCCCCCCACATCCCTCCAGGCCAAAGGAAAGCATGGATCCCCCTTACCAGAAGCTTTGCAGGTACTCTTGGCCAGAAGCCTACAGTCCAGAATCTCAAACCCAAGCAGGAAGCGATTCCCAGCTTCTCTATAACCCTAGAAGTGGACAGCGTGATATGTGGTGCTGTGGCTAGAGGTTGGAATACCTCCATAAAACACCCACCATGTGTGTGTGTGTGTGTGTGTGTGTGTGTGTGTGTCCATGCCTTAGTAACATAAATCAAGATGGCTTTAAAGAAGGCTTCAGCCTTTTGCCCTTGCAAAGTTGTGCTTTTGATTATTATTAGTTTAATTCAACTTGTTCTCAAAGAGTGCTAGGCCCCGAGACTTGCCATTTGTCGCCTCTTCCATGCTTAGGGCAGAACACCGGGGCAGCGAGGTGAGTTCCAGTCAGGATGACTGTGCTAAGGCTGCATCACGAGTCCTGTTTCCCTGCTAGCTGAGATCAGCATTAGGGATTTAATAGCAATACCATAACAGAGATTCATCCCATCAGCATGAGCACAGTGTGGGCTTTTATAGCTAATGACTGCCCTTGAGTGCTGAACAGAGTCATCTGTGGCCTGAAAAAGAAATTTCCCTATTTTCCAAATTCAGTAATCAAGAGCAAGATAAAGTAATGCACAGAAAAGGCGCACCGTTGCAAGTAGAATGTTTGGAGGCGAGAAAAAAAAAAAGAGGAAAATCACAGGAACAATACTGTCTTATTTTAGGAGACCTCAAACTGATTAAACTCGGAGTTAGGTATCATCTTGAAAGGTATGATGGTGAAGTCAGATGGGATATCGTTAAGGGGAGGACCCAAGCAAAACCAGCTTCAATTGATCAGAAGGCTATCAAGAAGACCCAAGTCAACAGGAGTTGATACTAATGAAGAAAAGATATGGACAAGAGGTGGATATATTCCATTATGGGCAGTACCCATCGAAATTCATTCAAGGCAGTAGCTGAGTCTTTATCATAATTAAGCCCACCACAAAGGCTTGGCAGTCCTCCACATTGCAGTTAATGAGCTCCGCTGCTCACTGAAAGGTTGGAGGTTCAAGTCCACGCGCAGGTGCCTTGGAAGACAGGCCTAGCCGCCTTTTTCCCCAAAGCAGTCCTTGAAGATCCTGTGCAGCGCACTTCTGCCCTGACACACAGGTCAGACTGGACTGCATGGAAACAGTTTGCCTACAAGTTGACTAGGAGCCAAACCTTGCAGGCCTTGGGGCTTCAGTGATGGCGGACTCGAGTGATCAACACGCACATAGAACCCTGACGTCCCCGAGGAAAGTGACCTCCCAGAGGGGTCGCTGGTCCCCTGATTCGTGAGCCTGTGGATTTTGGCTTTTAAAGCCTTGCTTCTTTTTATTCTATTGACTCTTAGTCCTGCTGAAAATAGGAGAAGAAACAGGGTCAGTGAGCATGTAATTTCCTTGCAGAGGGAAGTTTGACTGGAAGGAAGAAAGAGCCTTAAAACCCAGGTCGTCAGAGTGCATTTTCTTATTTAAGATCAAGAATCAGTCCGTTTAAACGGCCTATCCACATGAAGTTGGTTCAGATGATATCTCTCTCTCTCTCTCTCTCATCTCTATCTATCTATCTATCTATCTATCTATCTATCTATCTATCTATCTATCTATCTCTAGTAAAAGCAACCCCAGGGCTGATATCCCTGTTTATTATGAGGGGAGAGTGTGGCCAAAATTGTTTGAGGGCTTCTACTGGTGCTAATGAATTTTAAACAATGAAGCCAAAATTATCTTCAGGAGAAACTTAATTTAGTAAGATACAGAAGTGGCCCAAAGTTTCGAAATGAAAGCGAGATAAATCTGAATATTTGATTTTCTATTTTTGCTCTGTTGACTCATTTAAAGTGCTATTCAAAACACTTTTAAAATTTATTCCCATCTGAAAGAGAAACCTCAAATTTAAAAGTTTATATTGAAGCACGACAATGCACTGAGCGTAAAACCATGTATTTTTAGAAGCCAGTGGAACCGTATCATTGTCGTCTAGTTAGCCCTCTGAATGTTGTGAGGTGCCCTGGGGTCTGTTCTGACCCCTAGCGACCCTGTGCACACTGAACCAAACACTGCGCAGTCCTGCGCCATGCTCACAGGGGTTCCTATGCTTAGGCCCCTTGCTGCAGCCGCTGTGTCAGCCATCTTGTCAAGGGCCTTTCTCTGATTTGCTGTCCCTCGAGCTTACCTGGAATGATGTCCTTCTCCAGGATCGGGTCTCTCCTTACAACGTGTTCAAAGCATGGGAGACTGAGTCTTATCACCCTTGCCTCCCGGAGCATTCCGGCTGCGCTTTTACCAAGACTGCTTTGTTTGCGGTTTTGTGGCAGTCCATGGTACTTCCGATAGCTTCACCTGCACCGTAACTCAAATGCATCCATTCTTCTTTGGTCTTCCTTATTCAGTGTCCAACTGTCACGTATGTATCAGGTGATTGAAAATACCCTGGCATGTGTCAGGCGCAGCTTAGTCCTGAAATAACTTCTTTGCTCTTCAACACTTGAAAGAGGTCTTGTGCAGCAGATTTACCCAGTGCAAGGTGTCTTTTGAGCTCTTCCCTGCTGCTGCTTTGAGCGTTGTCTGTGGATCCAAGCAAGGTGAAATCCTTGACAAGTTGAACCTCCTCCCTATTTATTATGATATTACCTATTGATCTAGTTGCATGGATTTTGGTTTCCTTTACATTGAATTGTAATCCATACTGAAAGGCTACAATCCTTGATCTTCATCAGCAAGTGCTTCATGACCTCCTCGCTTTCAGCATGCAAGGTTGTATCATCTGCATATTGCAGGTTGTTAATAAGCCTTCCTCCAACCCTGATGCCGCTTTCTTCTCCATATAATTCAGCTTCTCTGGTCATTTGCTAGCCTACAGATTGAATAAGTATGGTGAGAAGATACAATCCTGCTGCACACTTTTCCTGATTTTACACCAGGCGGTATTCCCCTTTTCTCTTTTCACAATTGCCTCTTCATTCATGGAAAGATTCCACACGAGCACCATCAAGTGTTTTTGGAATTTCCATTCTTCTCAAGGTTATCCATAGTTTATTGTGGTCCACGCAGTCGAATGCCTGTGCACAGTCAATAAACACATGTAAACATCGATCTGCTGTTCTTTGTTTTCAGCCAAGATCCATCTGATATTAGCAATGATAGCCCTTGTCCCCAGTCCTCTTCTGAATCTGGCCTGAATCTCTGGCAGCTAGCTCCCTGTCAATGTGCTGCTGTAACTGTGGTTGGATGATCTTCAGCAAAATTTTACTTGCATGTGATATTAATGAGATATAGAATATGTTATATAACGCTGTATCTATAATATGAGCGTTCTATTGGGTCACCTTTGTTTAGGATAGGAACAGATATGAATCTCTTCCAGTCAGTTGGCCAAGTAGCTGTCTTCCAAACTTCCTGGCATAGATGAATAAGTGCTTCCCGTGCTTCATCAGCTTGTCGAAACAATTCAGTTGGTATCCCATCGAGTCCTGCAGCCTTGCTTTGGCTAGTGCTTTCAGTGCAGCTTGAACTTCTGACTTCAGCACCTTCGGTTCTTGCTCGTTCACCATCTTGAAATGGCAGTGTTCTTTTTGGTCCCGCGACCCTGTGGATTCTAACTTCTTTTGACGCTTCCTGCATCATTCAATATTTTGACCATAGAACCTTTCGATATTGTCGCTTGAGGTGTCAATTTTTTTTTCTTTCGTCTTTCCGGTTAAGATACGCTGAGTGTGTTCTTCCTTTTTGCTTTTCTAACTCTAGATCTTCGCATATTTCGTTATAATAGTTTACTTCATTTTCTTGAGCTGCTCTTTGAAATTTTCCGTTCAGCTCTTTTACTTCATCGTGGCTTCCGGTTGCCGGGGCTACTCTGCTCCACAGCAAGCTGCCGTCTCTTCGGACGTCCAACTTGGTCTTTTTTCTTCCTTCCTTTCTTTTCTTCCTTCCTTCCTTCTTTCTTTCTTTCTTGTCTTTTTAAGGGCCTTTTGCTTTCTTCATGCATAATGTTCTTGATGTCATCCTACAGCTCATCACGTCTTCTGACATTAGTGTTCAATGAGCCCAATCTGTCCTTAACTTCTTGAACTTAATCTAGGATGTCCTCAAAGTCACATTTTGGCTCTTTTAGACTTGTCTTAGTTTTGAGTCATGTCACATCAGCAAAGGAAGGCCGTGAAGGTTGTATTCCCACAGGCTTTCCTCAGTCCATGTCACTATGGTCCAGTCAACCCTTCTTTGAGGAGGCAGCACTTCCTCAGTCGTATCTTGGGTGCCTTCCATCCTGGGGGCTCATCTCCAGGCACTGTCTCTGACAAGGTTCTGCTTCACCTCATGCGGGTTTCAGTAGCCGATAATGTCTCAGTGCTATCCATAATGGGTTTCAGTAGCTAGTTCTCTGAAGGGGACAGCCTATTCCTTCAGCAGCATCTGAAGCTCTGCTGAAATCTGCTCGCTTTGGGTTCCCCTGCTAGTACTGGAAGTACAGCATCACAGCAACACGCAAGCCACCGCAGTACAAAAAACTGGCAGACAAGTGGTGGAGTTTGCCATCCTTAGCGATAAAAACAATCGTCTTAGCAGAGAGCCCTTACTGTGCCCTCAGTCATTCTGTTTTTCCACCGAGGTGATGAGGTGGGAATTAGTGTTATCCTTGTTTTATAGATGAGGAAAGGCAGGGAGGTATAGGAACTTGTTCAAAGTCACATGACCAGTAGTTGCTGGGATCAACTTCGGACCCCAAATAGTTGGTCCCCAGAGTCTACACTTTTAACGGCCCCACCCAACCACCGCTCTGATCAAGCCGCATCCTACGTATATCCTCCCGCTAGCTAAGGCCCTCGTGAAATTTTACCAACACGCTTCCATGTTTATCCTTAGAAGACAATTGCTTGAGCAATGGTCTAAACAGAATCTTCTTTCACAAACACTTGCTTGTGCTTTTGACTCAGTTCTTTAGCCTCTGCGTCCATTCTCTTCAAGTGCCGATGCCTTCACCCACCACTGCGTGGGATCCATGCAGTGAGAATGATTCTCGGAGACTCGCAGAACTCACTGGTGTTTCCTGAGGGCTGAATAATTATTTATTATGTATCGCAGGCTATGCAGCAAGCAACAACCCAGGGGCTTCTTGGATTAGCAAATAGTGTCTCTGCTTTATGAAAACGGACTTGGATATTATAACAAAAGTACACTCTTCATTTCCTTTGGATGTTATGAGTAATAAAAGTGTCTCCTTCCTCTCAGTCAGGTGGCTTCACCCACATCTTCACTGAAGATATGCATGTAAGTCTATACCTTTTCATTTCTAGCCCAGTGATGCATAGTGTTACCATTGGCATCATCATCTCCATTATTATCACTTTGAATTTTTAGTGTGCATTTTTTTTCTGGGAATCATGATTTCAATATTGAGTTAAGTAATCCATTGTCTTGGAAAACCCATTGTGGCTCTACTATTTTTAACTTCAGATTTTTATATGCCACTCTCTTAGCTTACACTCCTGCATGTTCCAGGCTTCTTTCTTCTTCTTTCTAGAACAGAGATGCCAAAGACAAGAATGAAAGTCTCACAGCGCTGAATGCCCTCATTTGTAACAAAAGCTTCCTTGTGACTGTCATTCACACCCTCGAAAAGCAGAAGAACTTTTCCGTGAAGGACAGGTATGTCCTGGTCTGTGTGGAAAGCCAGGAGGGAGAGGAAATAACAGCTCCACTGAGACTACACTTCCCAACCACTAACCTCACAGTCTGCTGTGAGCCCGCACTGCCCCAGACGCTGGTTCCACTGCAGCACAGCTGCCACGACAGGTCATGCCACCACAGCACACACACGTGCATGAGGGGAGCCCCGTGAGAACCCCAACCCCCAGGAGAAGACAAAACATAAGTTCTTCATCAAAATGCAGAAGTATTATTTTCTGTTTTAAAAACACCCTTTGAATTAGGGGAAGGTATTGACTGCTGGCTGCCTACCACACGGCTCTTAAGTGCTGCCCTAAAGTTAACATTGGTGGGTCATGTTTGGTTTGTTTGTTTGTCTGTGTTTTCATGCTCAGGACAGGGAGGCATGGGGCATGGGTGGAGGACAGGGCATGGTTAGGGCAGTGGAAAGATTCAAACTATTCAAACAATTCTGGCCCAGGCTCTAACTGAGGACACACATTTTGTATTACTTGTCAAAACCCACAAGACTATTTACAACACCAAGAACGAGCCCATGGACGTGTTCGCCCATTCGAGCATGTCCTTGTCAGCTCATCAGTGGTAACGAGGGGACGGCAGGAATGCGGGATGTTAACAGCAGGAGACGCTGTGTGCAGACTGGGGAAGGAGATGAAGCGGGCTCTCTACTTTCTGTCCAGTGTTGCTGCAGAAGTGAAACTGCTCGACATAGTTCATAAAGTCTATTAAAAAACAATGCGCTCAACAGGACAAAGCACCCCCTGCCCAGAAATGCACATGAAAACAGCCGTCAGCTATAAACCGGACCTACGCCCTATGGTTAACCAGGACTCTCTTTTACCCAGGTGCCTGTTTGCCTCCTTCTTGACCATTGCACTGCAAACCAAGCTGGTCTACCTGACCAGTATCCTGGAGGTGCTGACCAGGGACTTGATGGAGCAGTGTAGCAACATGCAGCCCAAGCTTATGCTGAGACGCACAGAGTCGGTGGTGGAGAAGCTCCTCACCAACTGGATGTCCGTCTGCCTCTCTGGTTTCCTTCGGGTAAGTGTCACCTCCGTCGGCTGCCAGGGGGGCAGTGTCAGAGGTAAGACAATAGGTGGTTATTTTTAGCCGACGCTGCTTTCTCTGCCAGGACAAGTCGCCGAGCTCCGGGGTGTCAGCATTTCACTTCTAAGAGTCTTGGTCCTTCTAGGGCACTGCTCCAGGGGAAGCAGAGATCGTGTTTCCGATCACTGGCCTGTGTTGTTTGCCGGTGAGCCAACTCCAACTGATGGAAGCACCCATGGGGGTCAGAATCGAACTGCACTCCAGGGGGTTTCAAGACCATGCCCTTTGGGAAGCAGATCACCAGGCCTTTCTTCTGAGGTGCCGCTGAGTGAATTTAAACCATCCACCCGGCCTTGAAATCAGGAGAAGGTATTCCCTTCTTCGTACTGCTCTAGCTTACTGAGAATGCACAGAAACACCCGAAGTTGGCATTGGTGGGTGTTGGCTATGGCTTGCTGACAGTAGTGGTCAGAATCTCCCTGACTGCCATCGAGTCATTCTGACTCACGGCAACCCTGTAGGACAGGGTAGAACAGTCCCTGTGGGTTCTGAGACTGTCACTCTGTACAGGAGCAGAAAGCCTCGTTTTCTTCTTCAGAGCAGCTGGTGGTTTCGAAACGCCGACCCTGAGGTTAGCAGCCCAATGTGTAATCTCTATGCCACCAGGGCTCTGATCAGAATCTAGACATAAAAATAAGTCAACAAACAAACAAACAAACAAATAAATAACAATGGAGCACAGGATTGAGTAGGAGTTAGTAGTCCAGCATGAAAGAAAGACGGCAGTCTGCTTCCAGAAAGAAGGCCAAAACCCAGCCCAACAGGGGAGCGCCCCATGCTCTGTGAGCTCCCTGCAACGAACTCTTGACAGGAGCAAGTAGCTTCCTCTTTCTCCCAGGGCTCAGCAGGGGGAGGTTAAGCCACCAAGCCCAGCACTTAGCACATGACACCCCCAGGGCTCCTTCCGTAAAGATCAAACCCCACTGCAAAGAATAGATAGGGGTTCCAAGACTGCCCATCTTTGCAAGAGGAGATAGCCTCATCTTTCTCCCCAGGAGCAGCTGGTGTGTTTGAACCACCAACCTTTAGGTTAGCAGTCCAATGCTAACCCGACAGTGCCACCAAGGCACGTATCAGGCAGGTCCTACTCCATCCTGCAGGATTGCTGTGAGTCAGCCCTACAGGTGGCTGCGCTAGGGGTAAATAGTCCGGCTCTCTGTACCACTCAGGGGTGCCTGCAAACTGGCTGTGTGAAAAGGATGCCCTTAATATTATGGGAGCCCTGGTCCATTTAAGAGAACGTCCTTAATAGAGGAGAGGGAGTGCTTCAAATGCTGAAGAGAACAAACTGTTTTCAGGTCCATTTGAGAAAGCCCCATTTACCTCTCGAGAGCTGTCCGCTAATTACAATCCATTCCAACGTGTCACTCCACTGTCATGCAGGGCCTGCCCCGTGAGCACATTGTCGTATGAGTGCGGCCGTAAAGGCTGGATGCTTAACATCTTTGCGAAGGTGGACTTCTGTAGGTGCCAGTGGTCAAGTAAGAGCTCACTGTTGGCTTCCCGCCTCGATTTCTCCATGTCACTAGCGGTGGGTCCCCAGCCAGTTCCTTGACCTATCTGAACCCTGCCTGCGTGGCCTGCAGAAGGGGAAGAAAAAGAAGAGGAGGCAGAGCAGGAAGATGATTTAGGATAGTGCTGAAGTGCAGACAAGAAAACGCATGCAGTCGCTTAACACAGAGCAAGCACTCTGTCAATGCTGGACATTCTGACTATAAAATATGAATATGAAAATAAGGGTGAACCCAATCTTGCCTCAGGCCTCCGAGGGCCCTGGGACGGAGGGTCCCACCCTGCTTTCATTGTACCAGCCATCCAGATTCCAGGGGAGCTACATGCTGTAAGTGTGTACTGGTAGCTAGTTCTGAAATCGAATTAAACCGTGAAGAGGACACACTGCCGCGCCACAGGTTTTAGCAGTGCTGCTGAAGTCAGGTCCAAATGCAGCACTTTAAATCGACTGTGTTTAGTTTAATGGTTAATGCAATCTTACAAGTAGATGCGCAACATTTTTTTTTTACTAACTCTTCCTCTCCCAAGGCAATACCCATTTATTAAGATTAATGAAATCTGCCTTCTTTTCTGTTTACTTGGTATAAATCATCATACGCTTTGGGGAGGTGTTGTGTAGTTATTTCTGGGCTAAATTTTTTTCTTTCTTTCTGTTTTTTTTTTTTGGTTTCTCACCCATCACCATTTTCCACAACTGCTTCTAAGCAGAGGCAGTGCGACCCTAACCAAGTTCCTTAGCATCTTGGTCTCAAAAGGCTGCCCACCAAGGTCTCAAAAGGCTGCCCACCAAGGTCTCAAAAGGCTGCCCCACCACGGTCCCACGGCATCGTACACTGTGTTGGTGGTGCCCAGTAATCCGCATTTTAAACAAGCTGATCCAGGTGGTTCTGAGGTGCCCTGCCCTGGAGCACTCTGCGGTCGTGGAGAGCACTGGGCTGGGAGTCTTAGTTAGGACGATCAGATTCCCCAGCTCTGCGTCCCTGAGCTTGGCACAGTCCATCTGGCAGCATTTTCTATCTACTGAATGAAGGCAGGGTGGGGTCCTTGGTTTTACATTCCTTTCTGGCTCTTTCTCCTGGGATCTTGGGATTCTGACTCGGAGCTTTCACAGGCTGGTCCGATCATTCCTCTTGCTGTTCTGGCAAAGCGGTCCGTTAATCTGGCCTCCAAGCCCAAACAGCCCCCTTGAGCAAAGGATTCTGGGTCAAGGTGGAGCAGTGCTGAAGTGAGAGTGTGGAGATTCTAGTGGCGAGGGGGCAGCCCGGCGCTCAGCAGAGGAAGTGGGGGAGGACACTAAGCCAGCCAAAAGCCCTTTCACTTTCAGGGAAATCATGACTGGCTTCCCGTAGTGAGGTGCCCGAGGAGGTGCGGGGCCTGGCAGCCCAAGTCTCCTGTCATACCCCCAGGATTATTTGAAAGGGAGCCTAGGCCCTTGCTTTCCAGGTAACTTCCCCTTCTAAGCCTCCAAGGCTTTGTGGTAAATTAATAACTACCTCCCCGCACCCACCCCCAAAAAACCAAACCACTTGCTATTGAATCTCTCTGACTCATATCAACCCCATGTGCTTCAGAGATTAGAATTGCTCCATGAGGCTCTTAATGGCTGCTGGAGCTGTGGGTTAGCCATTGGGTCACGATTCAAACCCACTAGCCACTATTTGGGGGAAAGATGAGGCTGTCTGTCCCTGTAAAGATTTACAGTCTCTCAGAAACACTCTGTAAAGGTTGCTGTGAGTTGGAATCCATTTGAAAGGCAGCAGGGTTTTGCTTTCTGTTTTAATCTTATGGAAATATCCCTCGGTTGAAAGACGCTTTGTACTCAGCTGCTAACCCAAAGGCTGGCAGTTGAAATCTGCTCATCGGAACCTTGGAAGAAAGATCCGGTTATCTGCTTCCAGTAAGAACATAGCCAAGAAAATTCTGGTATGGCTCTCCTTTGTAATACATGGGCTTGCAATAGGTTGGAATTAAGTCCATAGCAATTAGCAGCAATCTTATGGAAGTGTATCACTAGTCTTTCTGCCTTGACATGCTGGGTGAATTGAACCACCAATTTTTTAGTCAGCAGCTGAGCAAGCACCATTTACACCATCCAGGGGTCAATTTATTGCCATTTACTGGGTGTGTCTTAAGCTACAAATTTTACTTATGCTTTCTCCCATAATCCACTAGAAGCCCTATGGGGTAAGTATCTTAGGACCATTTTGCCTAGGAGATGGGGAGTTGGTCCACACGGAACAGACTGACTGACTCCTGCCACGTCCCCATCCCACAGCAATGGTACCAGAGTTCAAGTGCTTAGCCACTCCACTCACTGCTGCCGTCAGTCCGCGTAAGCAAGGATGGAGGGGTGGAAAGAGGTCCCAGGTGCCAAAGCATCCATCTCACCAGGGCCATCATTCTGGCCTCATGAAGGGATGCATGGTGAAGGGTACCACCTAAGGTGGGCAGTACCCGAGGTTGGTCCTCTGAGGACCTGTGTGCTGAAGAGACTGACTGGCTCAGCCCAACCCAACCCCGGCCCAGGGAGGAGGCATCCTGTCCCCAGCAGGTGTGACTGTCCAAAAGGTTGTGGTCAGTAGTGACAAAGCAGCTCTCATGACACTGTGGAACCCTATGCTGATCATACATCAGAGTTCCTTGAGATACTTTTGAAACTGCAGATGCTTCATTTCCAGGGATTCTGGCTCTGTACGTCTAAAGCAGGGGTCCTCAAACTTTTTAAACAGGGGGCCAGTTCATTGTCCCTCAGACCCGTTGGAGGGCTGGACTATAGTTTTAAAAAAAAAAACTATGAACAAATTCCTATGCACACTGCACATATCTTATTTTGAAGTAAAAAACCAAACGGGGCAAAAACACCCGGTGGGCCAGATAAATGTCCTCGGCGGACCGCAGGTGGCCCGCAGGCCGTAGTTTGAGGATGCCTGGCTTAAGTATGCTCCAAACCCAAGCCTAACCCAACTGATGCCATCAAGTTGATTCTGATTCATAGCAACCCTATAATACAGAGAACTACCCACATTGGGTTTCCAATACTATCATCTTTACATAAGCAAACTGCCACATCGTTCTCCTAAGGAGCAGCTCTGGGTTCAAACTACTGACCTTTTGGTTCACATCTGGGAGCTTTATCCACTGTGCCACCAGGACTCCATAAACTAGGGCCCAGGCATCTGGACTTTTTTTTTTTTTTTTTTTTACATAAGAGTTCAAAAGATACTAGGGATAACGGGCCAGGTTTGGGGTCATGGGTATGGGCACAGCATTAGAGGTTGATGCCAGTAGAACTGCCCCATAGTGTTTTCTGGACTCTAATTACCAGGTCTCTCTCCTTTGGAGCTGCTGGTCTCTCCACCTTTGGGTTAGCAGTCAGACACTTAGCCACGGTGCTCCCGGGGCTCCTTTGTACACGAGGAGATGTAACTGATTTCAGGCTCACTCTTGGCCACAGGAGTCGATGGCTACCTGCCCAGAACTGCCTACCTGGCCCCCTAGTGTCAACCTTGAGGCCACATCCAGCCACTGAAATGGCTCGTCCTTCCCTCTGCTCTGTGTTGGAGGAGAAGCGAGAAGTGGGGGTTCTAGGTCTGTGGTTGGGTCATCACCTATGAGTGGAGCAAAAGAGAAGAGTGAAGTGTGAGCCACCAAATATAGGGAAGTTTCTCGTGAGAAATAAATGTCATGCCTTAGTCCCAACTCTCTCTGCTCTTGGGAAAGTTTTGAAAATCCCACCTCTGTCTTACACTAAAGCAAGGCCTTTAGGCTCTATCTGTGGAGAAGAGAGAAGTAATGAAGGAGCCTGGCAGCTGTGGAATGTGGGCCAAGGGCAAGGAGGAGCCCTGGAATTGGGGAGGACAGATGTTTATATATAGGTGATGGGAGAGGAGCGGGAGGAAGGCACAACATCCCAGTAGACTTAAAAGAGGCACATTACCCGTCCAAGGGGCCGCAGGGGAGAAGCGCAGTGGGATCCTCCATTCAAAGGCAGGACAGTTGGCTGGAAAATTCAAATGTACACACTGTCACTTCCAGGCCTCCCTGTCTCTTCATCGTCAGTAAGGCAGCATGATTTCCCGGCCCTGGCCCTGCCTGCCTGCCTCAAAGTGTCCGCCTTAATGACCGTTGGCCACTGTTGTTGTCATTAGTTGCTGTTGAGTGAGCGCCGACAGACTCAAGGCCATGCTAGCTGTATAACTGGTGCAGAGGATCGCGCGCCACACGGTTCCCAAGGCCTTTGAGAAGTAGATTGCCAGACATTCCTTCCAAAACACTCCTGGCATGGGTGGTTTCAAACCACCAACCTTTAAGTTAGCAGTCAAGTGCAAGCTAGTCAACCATCCCCCAGTCCCCCCCGCCCCAGGATTCCTTTGCTGATCCTCAGGAGGTTGGCTATTTAGCAAATACTCTGGGGTCCACCCAGGGCTACCTGCCTGTGGAGGAAGCCACTCAGAGTTCATTTGAGAGCATTGTTGTTGTTGTTGTTGGCTGCCACTGGGTTGGCTCCCGGGCTCATGGAAACCCCATGCACAATAGACTAGAGTGTTGCCTGATCCGGCACCATTCCCATGATACCATGCAGATTACATCGTTGTGATCCATAGGGTTTCCATTGGCTGATTTTCAGAAGTAGCTGGCCAGGCCTTTCTTCCTAGTCTGTCTTAGTCTGGAAGTTCCACTGAATGTTCAGTATCATAGCAATACTGGAACTCCTACTGAAGGGCCAAGGGTGGCTGTGCTTGGCCAGGAATCCAGTCCAGGCCACCTGCATGAATTTGAGGTATTGGAATAACAACCAGGGAGGTAGCCCCTGCTCCTAGAAACGATGTACCCAGCAGGCCCCGAATGTGCATGGAAAGAGCTTGAGAGGAACAGGCACTAGCTCGGTCCAGGGAGACAAGGTGGTCTGCGTTGGTGGCCCAGCACCCACCAAGGTACAGAGGTGGGACGACTGCAGGATGTGTCTGAGAACTGAATGGGGACTGGCCTGGCACCTGCCCAGGAGATAAGGCTGCAAAGTTGCTTAATTGAAAGCTACGTCTTCCTTAAAAACTGTGAATTGTCTGTACGGACTGTGAAAAGAGTTGCACGAGCCCCAATCAAATGATTTTTTTAAAATGCTGGGAACACCAAAGGCAGCATCCTTGGCAAATGTATGGGATGTCCTTCTGCCTCTTTTTGTTCCCAGTGCTAATCATGCATTTCAAAATGCCATTTATTTTCAGCTTGCATTAAAAAGGGGGACGTGGAGGGGGCAGTCAATAAATAGGAATGTAAGTATTCTGTCTCTTCAGCTATTAGTAAACATTAGCCTACAGGTGAGCATTAGCCTACCTTACATAAGGTTAGCATAGAATAAATCTAGACTACTGTGTGTGCGTCAAGGAGCCCTGGTGACGTAGTGGTTAACATTGGGCTGCTAACCACAAAGTAAGCAGTTCTAAACCACCAGCCCCTCCATGGCGGGAAAATGAGGCTCTCTACTCCTGTAAAGAATTATCATCTGAGAAGCCCACAGGGGCAGTTCTACCCTGTCTTATGGGGGCACAATCAGTTGGAATCAACTTGGTGGCAGCGAGTTTGAGGTTTTTGATGGCATGTACTTGAAGGAGCCCTCGTGGTGCCGTGGCCTAAGCATTGGGCTGCTCACCCAAAGTTCGGTGGTTTCAATCCGCCACCCTCTCTGCAGGAGAAAGATGAGGCGGTCTGTTTCCATAAAGATTCCAACTAAAGGGCAATGAATGTGCAAGTGAGCTTTACACATTTGATGAATGTATGGATTGTGATAAGAGTCCTATGAGCCCCTAATTAAAGGATTAAAAAAAAAAAAGAAATCAAGTGAGGGGGAGGGAGGGGGGAACGAGGAGCTGATAACAAGGGCTTAAATAGAAACTAAATGTTTATAAAATAGTGATGGCAACATATGTACAAATATGCTTGATACAATTGATGTATGGGTTGTTATATAAGAGCTGTAAGAGCTCCCAATAAAATGATTCTTAAAAAAAAAAAAAGATTCCAACTAAAAGCCAAACTCTCTGCTATTGCGTTGATGCCAACTCATGGCAGCCTACAGGGCAGAACAAACCTGCCCCTCTGAGTCCCCGACTGTGCTCTGCACAGGAGGAGAAAGCCCCTTCTTTCTCCTTCAGAACGACGAGGGGTTTCAAACTGTGGACCTTGCAGATTGCAACCCAAAGCATAACGACTACGGTCCCAGGACTCCTTCATGACGAGTACAGCCCGGGAAACCCCGGGGCAGCTCTAGTCTCTCCCATAGGGTCAATGGGAGTTGGACTAGGGCTTGATTTTGGTGTGTACTTGATGTAACTATGAGTGAGTGAGTGAGAGAGTGAGTGAGTGCGTGAGTGCGTGCGTGCGTGCGTGCGTGCGTGCGTGAGTGAGTGAGTGAGTGAGTGAGTGCATGCGTGCGTGAGTGAGTATGTGCTGAGGACCAGAGGCCGTTTCCGGTGCACCTGAGTTCCTCTCTGGAATCGTAGGTGGCACCACAGGCATTTTGTTGGGTGCATCATGCTGGCTGTCAGGAGCGCTGCCTCCTGTCGCCTGTCATCATCGGAAACGCTGACTCTAATGATGAAGGAAAGCACAGCGGGTTCAGGAGAAAGCTGACTGTCCTCACTCTGTGTCTTTCCCAAGGAGACTGTGGGAGAGCCCTTCTATCTGCTGGTGACGACTTTAAACCAGAAAATCAACAAGGGCCCCGTGGATGTCATCACTTGCAAAGCCCTGTACACCCTCAATGAAGACTGGCTGCTGTGGCAGGTCCCCGAGTTCAGCACCGTGGTATGCCGGTCTTACCTCGCGCTGGGGCTGGCTCTGGCTGGGGCTATGGGTGGGAGTGAGAGCGGGGGTGGTCATTGGCAATGAAATGACCTCATTCCCACGGCCGGGGGGCGTGTTCGTTTTGTTAATTTTAAACGATAGCTGATAAACCATTAACACGTGTTCACATGATAGATTTTAATTACGTGGATTTGGGAGTGGGGGGACGTATTGTAATGAGGCCTGGGGTGCTCATCAATTTCCAAAGATTTTAATATCAGGATTGCTTATAGCGTTCCACATTGTCAGAGGAAATGCAAAGCAGTCCCCGTTCAGCACTTATAATTGCAATCAGAATCCCTCACATGGCCCTGTGCTGGAAGACCATGTTTGAAGATCTATCTCATCCAAATTGAGGCCGTCTTATTTTAGCACGATAACACAAGACAGACGCCAGCGCCTGCCCCGTGCGTCGTGTGCCCTGGCTTTCTTTTCATGGGTTCGTTACACATGTTTGGTATGATGCACTTAATGTACTGAGAACTCATCGATATTTCCCGAGGAACGTGTTACACCATGGCCGCAGCGGACTTGCCTTGCCACTGGAGGGTCTCGCCCCCCTGGAGAATTTCCTTTCAGCCCGTTGCACCCCCACCCACTCTGCCCCCTTCTAAAGCAGAGGGGATCAATGCATGGTACGTTCTGCAACTTAAGAGAGGGAGGCAGGCCTGGAAAATATAGCCACAATTCCTTACGCATGTCCTAAGCCTTGCCGGAGAAAGATGGGGCTTTCTATTCTCATAAAGAGTTACAGTCTCAGAAAACCACAGGGTCGGTTTTAGCCTGTCCTAGAGGGTCGCTGTGAGTCAGCATTGACTCGATGGCAGTGAGATCTTTGAGGCCTAAGCTATGCTCCCAGTACAGATGTGAGAAAGTGAGGGCTGAATGCTCGTGGAGAATTTCACAGCTACTTCCAGCTGCAAGAGAGTAAGCTGGAGAGAGACTCTGGCTTCTTCACTGTCTCCTTAATGAAGGTGGGGACGGCTTTCTGAGGGGCTGAGTATTGCTCATGATGGGAGCCTAAACTCCTGCGGCTTCACTGTAGCTCGCAAGAGCTCGGGTGTCATGCAAGAAGAATTCACCGCTGATGGGAGAAGGCACCACTTCGCTGTGCACTGTGTGATGGCTGTGTCCTCTGGCGGGGAATGTTCCCTGGGTCAGCTGCTCTGCATTCTGCATCCTTGTGCGCTGCCAGATGCAGCTCACCCCTCCATTGAAGACGGTGCCTTACTCAACGGCCCACTGAAGCCAACTTTTCTCAGTCTTCTCGTTTCTGTCTATGCCCCTGTCTGCATCTGAGAGGCAGCAAAGAGAGTATGTGCAAAAAAACCCTAACCACTGAATTGCCCGTGAGCCTATTCCAACTCATAGTGATGGGGTGGGGGGTGGGGTGCAGGGTAGAACTTCCCCAAGGGACAGTGAAGGCTATCACCTATCTGGTGATAGACTGCTATGTCTTTCTCCCATGGAGCACCTGGCTTTCACCTGGGCTCAAAACACCTGCCTATCCATTAGTAGCCAAGCACTTAACCACTGTGCCACCAGGGCTCTGTGTGTAGTGGGGTCACCTGGGGAGCTAGTTCAATGCTGATGGCTAGGTCTAGTTGAGTAGGTCTGCACAGTGGCCTTAGAATCTGGACTTCTAGCATGCTGCTGCTGCTGCTGCTGCTGCTGGTCCAGGGCCCACACGTTGGGAATAGTGGTTAAGAACTGGAACTCTGGAGCCAAGGCTGGTTTGAATCATGCCTCTGCCACTTACGAGCGGTGTGACATGGGGCAAATCTCTAAGCAAGTCTGTGCCTGAGGGTTCTTGTCTGTAAATGGAGAGGATGATGAGCAGAGTGCTTGTCTGGTACATGAGGACATGAGGGTTGATGTTACGTAGATCACGTTGAACTTCGCCTAGCACCTGGTGCCATCTATGAAGGTTCATCAAATTCCATTCACATCTCCTTGGACGCTTGTTTGTAACACAGACCCAGAGGGCCCAAGGCCTGGGCTGATGAAATCAGAATCCTTAGGGTTAGAGCCCAGGCATGGTTATCATTTTTATAGCTCTTCAGGCTATTTTAAGATGTGCCCCAGGTACGTGCCACTGGAGAGCTTAGAGAGAGAGAAGACAAACTCAGGGTGAGGATGTTTGCAGTCAGCTTTGGTGGGCCATGGCTTTGTCTTTAAAAGCGAGGCCCTCCTTCCATAACCAGATGTCCATCCACTTGCTTTGGCATATTTTGTTAGCACCGCAGAGAAACCGTCGCCAGAAATGCAAGGTGGGGCGGTGCAGCTGCATTTTCGTTGCATGAAAAGATGGTGTCCAGAGACGAAGGAAAGGCAAGGCGGAGAAGGGCTGCGTGTGGGGAAGAGGCCCGACGATGTTGGGTCAGGGAAACAACTTCAGAGGTTGGACTTCTTGGCCATGCATTCCACCTGAATGCTTCCCCCCAACCCTTTCATTTTGAAACATTATTTAACTCGCAGTCAATTAGGACCATGTGTTTCTGATTTGTTAACAATCAACTCATCATCCAAACGGGACTTGCTGTGGAAGACGTTCATGTGGACCCCTGAGGTTTAGTTTGGTTCCCTGATGGCCCCCGAGGGAAGAGGTGAACAGAAAACTATGATTCCAGATGAAGCCGCATACATCTCCCCTTTCCAAAACGGAGTGGCCGGTATAGAGAGCTGAGGCTGGGGAGGGGTGAGCGCCTTATTTCTAGGGCCCCTGCCTTTGAAATGAGTTTAAAGCCTTGCCTTGGTCCTGTCCCCACACCCTTTCCATGCGGATGGTTGTGCCAGGGGCTCTCGACAAGGCTTATTATCCGGTCTGTGCTTGTGTGACAAAATGTTCACAGAAGGTCAATATAAAAAATTTAAGGTTTTTCATTTCCTCTCTGGCAAGTTCCCCCAGCCTTAGCCTTCACATTTCTAATTTTCTTCCTTCCTCCTCCCTCTCGTCTCCCCTCTTTCTCACTCCATTTTCCTCCCTCCCAGGCATGTATGCCGAGTGGTTTTGAGTCTCGATTTTCTAAGTGTGCCTGAGGTGGTTTATGTAATTGAAAACCCAAAGTGTGGTGAACAAACTCGATTCTGTGTGTGAGCAAAACGAGAGAGAAATCCTTTCAAGGCAAGAAAAGTCGGACAAATCAAGAGTCATCGAGCTAGCAACTTGAAATGACAGTGCTGGGTGTCCCAGTAAGGACGAGGTTTGTTGTTGTTGTTGTTTTTCCTTATAAAGGCCCCCAAACTTCTGTTTTGACTAAATGCTCAGAAACGCAGCACTTCATTTAACAGCCCCAAAGTAAAGTTTCACACCTCTAAGATTAGGACGTGTTCTCCCTTGAGGTGTGCGGTGTTTTCTAGAACATAAAGACATCCTGCCAATTTCTTTTCTTTTTTTAAAGATCATTTTATTGGGGGCGCATCTGTCCTGGATTCCCTGTTTCCAGTTCCTATCTGTACCAATGTACATCCTCTGGCCTAGCTGGATTTGTAAGGTAGAATTGGGATCATGATAGTGGGCAGGGGAAGGAAGCATTTAAGAACTATAGGAAAGTTGTATATTTCATTATTGCTACACTGTACTAGCTTGTCTCTTCCCCGCGACCCTTCAGTAAGGGGATGTCCAGTTGCCTACAGATGGGCTTTGGGTCTCCACTCCACACTCTCTCTTTTTCACAATGATATGATTTTTTGTTCTTTGATACCAGATCCCATTGACACCTCATGATCATACAGGCTGGTGTGCTTCTTCCTTGTGGGCTTTGTTGCTTCTCAGCTAGATGGCTTATTTATCTTCAAGCTTTTAAGACCCCAGACACTATATCTTCTGATAGCTTGGCACCATCAGCTTTCTTCACCACATTGGGAAGGTGAGCATCATGGAATGCCAGTTTAATAGAACAAAGTGTTCTTGCATTGAGGGAGTACTTGAGTGGAGGCCCAATGTCCATCTGCTACCTTAATACTAAACCTATAAATATCTGCACATAGATCTATTTCCCCACCGTCATATAAAAATATATTTACAGATGTACATGCCTGTATTTAGACCTCTATAAAAGCCCTTTGCCTCCTAGTTCTTTCCTCTGTTTCCTTTTACTTTCCTCTTGTCCCACTATCATGCTCATGCCAATTTCTTATACATGAAGTCATTAGACTAACAAATGGGCCCTGCAAAGTCTTCCTTCACTCTTTGCGTCTTTCGTGAAGTTTCGGCCCAGCCCCATCAAGCCTCACTCTCCCTCGTGTGGTCAGGAAGCAACCTTCTGCATCCCGGCGGCCAGATGGGTGTTCAGTGAGGCAACGCCCAAGCCCAAACACCCAGCCCTCAGAAACCCTTCCTGGCTCTCGCCTCAGTGGAGGGTTTTCAGGCACACGGGCAAGGAATCCTCGCCGTCTCCCAGTATTCCATGAATCTCGCCTTGACAGGCTCAAGAGAGGTGCACAACACACACATTTGTGCCGCAGTGTCCCCTCCCTTGCAGAACTGGAAACCGGGCCTGGCCTCCCTCAGCTTGTGCTGGGTCCAAAGAATGGTTTCAGAACAGATTGCCTGTGCACTGGTGAAGAGCCCTTGGAGGCGGGGGTGGGGCGGGGGCGGGAGGGATGTTGTTCAGTGCCGGGGAAAGTGTACCAGTGGGAGCTAGGACAGTTGTTTGACTTTCAGAAGGAGATGAGAAAACCCAATAACTCGTAGCCAGCGTGCTGAATGAGCAAGAGGAGTCTGACTTGTAATCAAAGTGAAGCGGGAAATGGTGTTTTGAACTCTTAAACCCAGGAAATGAGCCTGCCAATCTGATGCAGCAGGGAGATAGCATCTTGGCAGCCTGGGAAACTGGGTCCGGACAAACATATTCTTGCCCTCGTTCTCATTTTCTAGAAGCCAGAGAGATTATTATTCCTCAGATTATGAGGACCCTGGGGCGCGCACAGACGCACGTGCGGGAACCTTCATGCCTCCT